CCAATAGTCCAGCGGGTGCGTAGAGAAGCTGTGCCTGGCACGCGCTAGATCGCCGAACGCGTCATTAGAAAAAAAAAAAAAAAGAAAAAAAAAAAAGAAAAAAAAAAAACGGCAAGACCAGGCCACCAGCAGCTCTTTGTGTTTCGGCTGTTTTTTGTTGTGGTTCTGGGTTTTGTGAAAGGGAAACCTGGAAAAATCCTCACCAGTCCAAACCGCTTAGAGGAAACCTGCTCTTAAGGGATGGAGGTCCAACGGAAGGGGCAAGCCGTTGTGTAGACGGTAAACCTGCGCCTGGTACTATGAGACCTTCTTCTTCCCTAGAGAAACTCGTCTCGTCCCTGCGGAATGCGATTTTTCCGGAACCTCACAAGCCCGGACTCAAAGAATACCAAGGACTGGCACAGACCTAGAACTCAGCTGGCCCCCACCTCTTCGGAGCCTTCGTCAGGGTCTTGCCGCTGACGCCTAGGTACGAGACTTTCTGGCCCCAGCCAAGCAAACCAAAAACTCGAGCAGCTCAAGCCAAGCAAAAACAACGGAAAGTCAAGTAAAGTCCAATTGCTAAAGCAAAACTTTTAGTTCTTGTACGAATCGGTGCCAATTGCTAAAGCAAAAGGTCAGTACTTCCTTTCGTGTACCAAGTCCTTGTTCTAATTGGTACCAGTTGCTAAAGCAAAACCTTTGATTGTCGGCACAAGTCAAAGGCACCAAGCAGGGCAAAAGCTACAAGTACCAAGCTAATAAAGGCAGGCACACTATCATTGACCTCCATTTTATACCGTTGAGCAGTTAATTCCCATACCTGGTCTACTGCATCTCAAAAGGGATTGAACAAGTTCCACTCACAGAAAGTGGCAAACCAGAAGCCCAACGAGTTCCAGAATATCTTGCCCGTCTTATGGTGCCTTTAAACATCCTCCTATGGCTGCCAACTCAAAGTGTTGCTACTTTTGGTGGGCGACGTGTTCAATTCGGAAATACAGGTTGGTCTGAAGAAAAGTTTCTCTTGGCCGCGCATGAAACCAATCCTCCCCAAGGCGTGTTGCCAAAACGCCATAAACTAGAAAAAGCTGGAGGGTCCCAATCGGAGTCCGGAGTCCGCCGCGACTGAAAACTCAGAACCAGACTCTTCAAGGCAGAGTTGAAGGTGACAATCAGCTCCTAGCGGCTGAGCGCGGGTTTTGTGGGCTCCAAGCGGGTCGCTTTTTGGGGTACCGGATTGAGGGAGTTGATGTAAAGGAACAGCAAAAAGGAACTCGGCCATTGAAACTCCCCGATTCTGACACGAGGCCAAATTCTGTTTGCGCGAGAAAGAGAGAGAGAGAGAGAGCGAGAGAGAGAGAGAGAAGTTTCCGTTTTTTGGGGTTGGTTTGAAGTGAAACCCAAAAAAAAACGTTTGTGCGGGTCCCCTCAAAAAGATGGATTGAAGGCAGTCGTGTTTTTCTCTCGAAGCCACTTCTCAGGTCCCGAAAAGCTCCAGGTCCCACATGTCTTTGGGGAAGCCGGGCATGCTTTGACTCCCATTGCAACCCAAAAGTGATCCCTGGATCCTTTGGCAGAACCCTATCTTCCAAAGGGAAGATTCCGTTTAGAATCGAGGAAGGGTGGTTCCTTTTAGGCAGCTTAAGGGGCAATCAGAGGACTCTGACGCGGGCATGGTGTAGGGAATGACCGAGACCGGGTTTCGGGAATGAACCGGTTTTTGGGACTCCCTGAAAGGAAACCATAGGGGATGGTTTATAGGGCGATTCCATTCCCTGAGACCATGAAAAACTGGGCAACCCACCAAAACCAACCAGATAGTTGTGAATGAATGCAAAGCTTGAGCTTTCATTGACGCCCTAAGCAATCCCAGGCTTCCCCAAAACCTTCAGAGTGGACTTGCCGGGACGCCAACGCGCCATGCCGGCAGAGATGCTTCAGAGCTGCGCGAAACCGAGCGAGCAGTTTCGCCGAGCGCGTGGGATTCATGAAAGACCCACAGGAACGCTTGGCTTCGTGAGTTCCTCCCCCCAAAACCGACCTGGAACCTTTTGGGGAAGAGGACACTCCATTTCTTTACAGCCCAAGTATGGGCTTGCAACACAAAGGGTGCTTCTTTCCTTCTTTCCTTTTTTTCTTTCCGCCCGCTTAAAATGAACAGAACCAAACTTGATCCAACGGTGAAGTTCCTACAAAAGGCTTTGGGTTGCCCTCCGATCTGCTTGGCTCAGCTCCCGCCTTCAGATCTGTGGGCCAGTCCACCGAGGGGTCGAAACCTCGAGAAGGCCATCCTTCGTGAAGGAAAAAAGATCTAGGTCCTCCAGTCGAGAGGATAGAGTAAGGGTACCCACTTTTTTTGGTTCTCTATTTTCGTAGGGGAACCCTCCGAACCAAAAAAGGGTGAGAAAGGGCACCTAGCTGCCCCGCACGAACAGAACTAGGTCCCTCTCGTGAAGGAAAAAAGGATGGAAAGGCGACAACGACACCGCGCGGCTTTTTTGCTGGAAGTCTCGAACGCTGTCTTCAAACCTAAAGCACGGACAAAAAACCGAGAGGACTTGGTATGTGGGACATCAACAAAGAAAGGCTTTGACCACATGGCCCACCCCGCCGAAACAAGAAATATGGGTCCCCCCCCTACTTTTTCCCTTTTTTTCTGGGCCATCTGGACCAAGCACTCACTCAACTTTCAGGTACTCAACTAGTGGGATTGGATAGGTTTATCTGCCCACAAGAACCAAAAGTTCAAATCCAATCCAAACCAAACCACGTGCGGCTCCCCTGCCACTTTTTGGAGATGGGATGGCTATGTTGAGGTCTTGTCATGTAAGAGCTGTCTTCAGAAAATGCTCTGGCGTGCAAGGCTCAACTTCTGAACCGTTTTGAAGAGAATCCGAGGCCGCCGCGGGCGATGCTCGAGCTCACCCAATGCAGCCGCCCAGGAACTTCCGAGCCCTACGACTGCTTTCTCGCGCGCGCGGGCTGGGCTTTTCCGATCCGAGACGAAGCCCGTGCCATGCGCGGCTGGGATGCGGATGTTCGATGCGCTGTTTGGGGGCTTGAAGAAAAACATCAAGGTGAAACGAGAACAAGGCCATTTCGAGACAGGCTGTGGGCCAGTCAAAATATGCGGATATCATACGGAGACATGGAAACACTAGGGTCTAGTTTTTGAGTGTGACAAATTTAGAGTGTGCCCCTTGCAACTGAACCACAGACCAGTGGATATCTTGACCAAACCTCACATTGGACATGGGCCAATTTGGTCCTGGGCCTGGTGGCAGGCTCGTTCCCCTTCAAACCTGTAGGGCGTCTCTGGACTACATGACCATTGGAAAATGACCCAAGGGACGGTGCACCTCCCACCAGAAGTGCGACCTTTTGATGAGGGCTCAACTGCGCGCTTTCGGCGGCTGCGCGGTTGTCTGCGACAAAGCTATCTGTCTGAGTCGCTCCTCAAGGATGAACGGCACGTACTCCTGCAAGGTGCAGGGAGGTCACGTGTCTCTCGAACTTGGGGACCTTGCCAGGTTTCCTTTTGGTTTCCCTTTCAAACCACCCAAGGGGTGCCCTATTTTGAGACCCTCCCGCCTGGGGATCGATCCGACTTTTTTTTGGTGTCCGCCCGTAGCCTGGGGTTCTTGAGGCTGGGCACCCTCTTCGCCTTAGGGAAGGCAAAAGGAAAACCGAAGCTCTTTGCGGGCGTTCCCCTATTTTATCCCCCCCACCCCCGCCTCCTGTCCACACTGACGCAAGATGGGTCCCAATTGAGGGGGGAAAAAAACGTACAGGACCCAGTCAGGTTCCAAGTTGGATCGGACGGGAAAAGCTGGGCATTTGGAAAAGAGACCCATGGATGGGAAATCTCACCGACGCAAATATCTCTAGAGAGGAGGCATTGGGAGCAATGCTATTACCCCAGCACAATATACACTATGGTCTACATGTTTAAAAAAAAAAAATGGTATCAAAAATTAATTGCTTCTGCCTGCAGACCCTGTTTCTCACAAGTGCCGCTGAAAAAGAGAAACCAGTGGCAACCCACCTTTCCCTGGAACCCAACCAGGATTCCAGCTAGCTTGAGGGTTGAAAGGGAGCAACCCGGTGGAAGATTCTCATGTGTGTCTGTTGTAAGGACCACCCACCCCCACAAAAAGACAAAACACACAGAAGGAATGAAACAACGGGGTACCCTTACAAAAATGGCATACCCCACTAGATACTAGATACCAACCTTTTGGTATGGATTTATGCAACCACCAACCGCTTTGTTGCCTGTATGACTCTTCAAGAATGAGTGGGAGAGTGAAGGCCGTACCATGCAGTAAGAAAAGTCTTTGAGCTGTGCTTTTTGGATTTTTTTTTTTGTTTACATGCACATCTTTAGGCAGATCTCTTTGGTCGCCATGTCAGTTGAAGGTGGCCATGTTCCCTCCGAGATACGAGGCACGGCTGCTTCTCTCGCTCCTCCGGAAGAGGGCCATCCCCCAGATCTGCACCCAAGGGAAGGACCTGAGACGCGAACTCCGCTTCTCGCACCGCCCAAGACGTTCCCGTGGGGTTCCCAAAACGTTGGAATTGAAGGCGGGGGATCAAAAATTCATTCGAATGGGTTTCTGAGGTGCAGGAGTTCGTCCGTCCACAGTTTGACAGCTATGAGTCATAGTGGCCCATCGGGTCTAAATATGGTCTACCCAGAACCATGCAACGAGTTTGAAAAGGCCGATTGGCCCCTACCCTTCAATTGCCCGGGTTTTGACTGTGGCTCACATGCAGGTTTGCAAAGAAAGCATCATCCATTTGTCCACCCCTGGTGGGACTTGTTGGTTGCCCCCTGCTTGCATCTGTTCAACAGGGGCCTGAAACGAGTGTTCGTGCTCTATCATGGCTTGGGTGACAACCCAATATTAAAACAATATTCCAACATGTTTTGATGGTCTTTTCCACATTCACCTACATGACTCTGTGTCCAAGAAAATTGCCACCCACTTCAAGGGCATATGAAGCCACATCATCAAGCACTTCAGGGAAACTCATTTTGACTTGGCAACCGCTTTGCTACTCACCCGTTTTAGCATGCGATCCCATACCAAGGGTCTCAATCATTTTAGCCTCACCAATCTGGCCATGAACGAGGACCTGGCACCTCCGCTCGAAAAGACCAGGGAAATACCCACCAGGCCTCACTCAAATGGGTTCCTGTGTGTGAGGCACCCCTTTTTGGCGTTTACAAGACAAGAAACCAGAAGGAATCCATGCCCCAAAGCCATGCCCCAAAGCCGTGCCTTATGTTGGCGGGTTTTGGGCCTATCACAAACCCATGCGCTTCAAACCGAATCCACCAGCCATGCTCGGTTGAGGCATCAGCCGCCAAACTGTACACCACGGTGAGGGCCTGCTTCTCTCAATCCCGCGGAAAAATGGGAAGTGTTCGAAGGTCGCGGTATATTATATGGTATATTCCTGGGAGTTTTGCGAAGGTTGGAAGAATCCAGTGAGTCATGATCAAAACCGATCGGTTTTAAAATGGGCTACCCAGAACCGCGGTGGAATTAACTAGGCGGCTGCACTAACTAACCTTCATCTTATTCGGGTTTTAATTGTAGCTCAAGCAATGCCAGGGGATGAGCCATGTGAAAACGGTGGCCATTTAGATTCTTTCAGGCAGAATCGAAAGTATCCACCCATGCTGGCTCTGTTTGCAGTGACCCCCCACCCAATTCTGAGCAATTTTCGGTGTTGTGCTGTTCTTTCACATTGGTCCAAAAAGGGCGTCCTAGTTTTGACCCTGCACGCACTCACACCAGAATCTCAAAGGGATCAAGAGACAATAAGATTGAACCCAGAAAACGAGAACTAAAACCCGCGAACTGCTTGTCCACATGCCAACTAAAACCCATGAACTGCCTTTCCAGAGATCAGCACATCGCTTCTTGAGGACATCCAGATCCTTGTGGCTTCCATTCCCGCCTGCCGCCCACTCAGCGTGTTGCCATCCTGTCAAGAAAAGGACACGACCCAAAGGTACAAAGGTTGTCAGGAGACTGGACATGGAGGATTTACCCTCCCCCATGGCATTTGTGGGAGGGTACCTGGAAACTCAGTTGCCTCGAGGGATGCCATGGCAAGGTGGGAGCGTCCCACCCCTTTCAGGTGGTTTCCTAAAGTTCATGCTCCTGCGTCCGCAGGGCAGTAGCTCGGGGAGGAGATTGAAAATGCATTGGTTCATCAAAAGGTTCATGCGTGGGATGACCATTGGGTGGAAAACCACGAAAACAAGACGTGATATGTTTCAACCACATAAAATAAAATATTATATATACATATATAACAAGGTTACCCATGGTCAAAACTGGGGGCCGCAGGGACTACGGATATCAACGCCCATTTATGTCAGAGACCCCTTTCAGGTGCCCTTGTGAGGCAAACATATTTGCCTTTCTGGCACCCATTTCGTTGAGTCCGGGCGATCGATGCAGATTTGGTATGTCAGGGAAGTGGCGATCGTAAGCCTGGTGAGTTACCCACCACACTCGGCTAGAAGTCTCTGTGGTTACAACCAGGGCTCAGATCCTCCGGCGTGAAGGAAACGAGCTCGAAGTCCGGCCTCAGCTCTGTGAATTGCCAGGAGACCCTTTGCTGCATATGATTTTTGCATAGGGGCTCTGGGTGTCCATTGCCTGCTTAGACCCCTTAGTACATGCAAACTGCCTGGGAATGTAGAACCTCTGCTAAAAAAATGTCCCGCCTGCGGCAACACACACACACACATTTGTCTGGCGTGATCAACTGCAACAGCCACCTACCTGAGTAATCCAAGCCTGGCAAAGAGGGCTACCCAGAATGCATAGAATCCAAAAAGCGCGGGAGAGACTTGCCGCACCTAGTTCTGCTTCAGCCCGTCTGTGCATCTCCACAGACCCTACGTGGTATGGAATGAAAGTGAAACTTGCTGCCCGTGAGGGGGACACTCGCCCTACATCGGTGCCCTCGGGATTCTTCTCGATTCTTCACGTGGGTCCATACCCCTTCGCCAGGTTCTCGTGACCCGCACCTTGGCACCTTTCTGCTGGTGTCCAATTTGGGTGGCTCATCTTCTGACCCGAAACCGCTTGGTTGGCTTCAAGGAAAATCCGAAAGCCAAGAAGCCAAGAAGCCAAGAAGCCAAAAAGCCAAGAAGCCAAGAAGCCAAGAAGCCAAGAAGCCAAGAAGCCAAAAGCGACAAAAACAAACAACAATTCCAATCCATTTGGGGCAGTTTGGATCCCAAAAAGAGACCACACCTTCCCAGCTTGGGTCCCGGCTCCAGCACCGTAGGCCCACCCTTCGATCCGGCACAGGCGATATCCCCAACGGGATGCGGTGCTCTTTTTAGTGCTCGCACCACCCAGCCCTCGCAACCCTGGTGGAGCCCTGGTGGAGCCCTCGTGGAACCTTCCCTCAGGGCCGCGGACCACCCTGGACCCTATCTGGGCTGAGACCCCAAAGCTTTCGGCTGTTGGGGAAAACACTTGCAATCGGCGCGATGGGCAGGGAATGAGTTGGAATGAACCGTTTTGGGATTCCCTTAGAGGAAACCACCAGTTGGATGGTTTAGTGTCATTCCCTCATTCCGGAAAAAGGGCCGGCTTCGGAAGACGGTAAAGAGACCGGTGGCATCCTCTGCACCCTGGAAAGATGGAGCGATACAGCAAACCCCAGCCGTTTGGCTGTCAGGCTGGGTGTGAAATTGGCCTTTGAGTTCCTCACGCAAGGGATGTTTTGTTTGAGATTCATTCCGTCACACTCGTAAGTAGCGAGGACAAAGCAACATGCTTTGAATGGCCATTTAAGCTCTCTGCCAAAAGTTGTAATCTCAAAAAATATGATCGATCGGGAGCCACCACATCGGATGCATGCCAGATGGTCACGCTTGCATGACTCTAAGACAACGCGTGTTGACTTCACATGCAAAAGCCAAATTTGCGTGAGTCGGCCCACCATGAAACACCCAGAGACATGATCATTGTCAGCATCGGTTTCTGAATGGAGAATGTTGACAACTACTTCCATATACGTAAGGAAATCAAGTTTCAGCATCGAGTGCAGCCAAGCAGCCAAGGCTGGTTGCACCAAGCACAAGAGTGGAAGGCAATTCCAAAGCATTGCATGCAACCGCATAGGAAAGCTAGCAGTGGAAGTGGAAGTCCTTGCAAGCATATGTGCCAGTGTCGTTTGTGTCCCTGATACTGTTCGGATGAACTCCCAAGTACCCTAGTCATTGAAGGAATCGCCCTCAAATACATCGATGTCCTTTGTTGAGCCACCTTTGATTCGTAGGATCCTCGCAATTTTGCGCATCGAATGATTTTGATTTGGGCCAAACTTGCGAGTGCCACGACTCAACACATTTCGATCAGCTCATGTGCCCTAACTGCACTGAGCCCAAAAAACCTTTCGGCCGGAATCGCGGTGCGCAACTTGGGTTTCCCACTCTTCCCACAATCGTGACATTCCTTAAGACTCACTTTGAACTCGCCCAAGAAGTGATGCTCACAGCCCTGCGTGCAAAGACATGACTCGGTAGGCACCCAACTCAGCTTTGTGCACCAAGGGGGCCTGTCATCATATGCGCCCGTCCACAACGCCATGCAGGACGTCCCGCTACGAGGGACTGACACACCAAGAAACCAGTTGAACATTGATCAAAACTGCATCATCATCGTTCCCTGCGCAGCGAACAACCATCTCAGAACAGGAGCGGACAAGGGGAATCCGACTGTTTAATTAAAACAAAGCATTGCGATGGCCTCAGAAGGTGTTGGCGCAATGTGATTTCTGCGGGCTACTAGTTGTGGTATCGGAGCAATCTCTGGCAATATGATTCTCCCAACAGGCAAGCAACCAACTGCCATGTTCGCTCTGCTTCCAAAGCATCCGGAATGCCCAGTTGCGGGGCCACACGTGTCTAGAATGCATGTGAGCATGTCTGCACCTGCGCTTCAACAATAAATCGGCGCAATCCCAGTGACCTTGCCAAGCAAACTTGGCTGCCAGCATGCTGAAGTTAAATGTTCAAGAGTTTTCAGCTTGTTAGATTCGCCACGTTTACCACAAGTATGCAAGCAGCAACAGCGCCCGATCGCACTCACGCAGGTCCGCAATCTTGGCACCAAGAAACAAATTAAAATAGGACAAAAGAGGAAACTTGAACAAAGCAAACTGAACATAACAACGCACCACCAAACAAATTGCAAAAATAATGCACAGTCAGGACGCAGCCTTAACCAAGTCAAAAAAGAACGACGTTCAAAAAGAAGAACACCAAGCTTCATTGTACCAAGATGATAATTCGCAGTGAACAACGTAGTTAGACGAGCCTGAGATGTCGTCGGCAATCCTGGCGCCGACAACAAAAGATGAACGCTCACCCTTGCGTAGCTGAAAACCAGAGGGGTCAATGCCTGAAAACCGACCACATGCCGTGCCGTCGTAAAAAAACAACTACATTGGAAACTTTGTCGTCAAGGATCACCATCAAAATGCAAATTGGCAGCGATCCTGCGTTTGAGGATAAAAAGCGGGTACTTGAATGTTGACAGCCATGCCTGCTGTAGAACTTGCTACACATAGTGTTTTGCTGGTCGACGGTCCAACGGCGGCTGATTTTCACGCTTTTAGCATGTCTTTCATTCTGGACTTAAGCGCCTTGGCAAGAAAAACTATCACTGTAGCTGAGTTTCGTCGAAAATAATCAAGTTAGTAGCTGACGTCAAAGAACCCCGCAGTTAGAATCTTGATCACTGCTTCAGTCCGAAAGGGAACATGCAGCCAAAGATAGAAGAGGTGCGACCGACAAACAGTATGTTCTTTTTCTTTGTGAGGCGTTGCTTGGAAGTTAAGGCTCGGAGGTGCATGGGAAAAACAGCGCGTGTCCTTTCCCCGTGTCTGCACCCCACCGCGGGCCTTCTCATGTGCCCCCGTGGTCACCAGTGCGTGTTCGACCAAGTGTCAGGTCTGTTACCTGTGAGTTAAGGCATGTTGCACTGCTCCTAGCTTGAACCCAAACATGAAACCTCAAAAGAACAAAGCTCGTCCGAGGCGGCCGCAGTTCTTTTTACCGGGATTGCTGAAAGTTGCACTGCTTCCAGGGCACTAGTGCGCCTGGAGCAGGAGGCACATTGACCCCCCGAAATGTGAAAAGGCAAGACAATGCGTGTCCTTGCGTATAAATGCAGTGCTTGGGGGGCGCGGCATGCGTGCCCACGCCCCAAGGTCCGGAGACCGAAAGTCCGGAGACTCGAGGTCCAGACACCGAAATTGGTCCGGAGACCTGGTCCGGAGACCAAAGTGCCCGGAGGCCACCCATGAAAGTGCAGAGAAACTGCTACCTATCCTTGCAAAGCCTGGCATAGGGCAGTGCAGGGCGGGTGGGTGGGTTTCAAGAAATGAAACCGCAGGTTTGGGTCAAGGCTAGGAGCAAAACGGCCAACGCATAGTTCGATTCACCACATGCCCTAAACACAAGGGAAAAGAAACCCTAAGCGTTAAGGCATGTTGCACTGCTCCTAGCTTGAACCCAAACATGAAACCTCAAAAGAACAAAGCTCGTCCGAGGCGGCCGCAGTTCTTTTTACCGGGATTGCTGAAAGTTGCACTGCTTCCAGGGCACTAGTGCGCCTGGAGCAGGAGGCACATTGACCCCCCCTTCAGTGTTTCAGGCAACCCCGGTAAAAGCGAACCCGCTGGGCCGAAGGCCTCATCACCCGCCCTTCAGAGTGGGGTTGTACCTGGCAGGGCAGATGCTAGCGTGACCATGCACGCTGGGCTGTGAGCAGCTTGTTATGCAGTGACTGCACTTTTTTCTGGTCAGAGCGGCTTGAGTAAGCGGCTGGCTGACGTCGCCAGTTGTTCTGGCTGACAGGGCAACGGCGGATTTTTGGTCGCGAGGCCATGTCGGATGCAAGTTAGGCTGGCGCAGCGGTGACGGAGGCTGCTGCCAAATGTTCCGGGCGCCAGGGCGCATGCATCGGACACAGTTGAATGCCTCGGCCTGACATCGCTAGGCTTGCAGGGCTGAAGCGTATGCGACTTTCAGGGCGATGGCTGAACCGGGCCAACCGACCTCTGCTGAGATCGTCAGCCCAATCATTGCACCTTCCTGGAACGTGCGTCGGCTGCAGCAGCACATTGTGAGCGTGAGCCCAGAAGGCTGTTAATTGCACAAAGAGTTGCAACGGCCAGGAGGTCGTGAACAGTTTGTTAAGGCTTGCTTCCGTGGCGGAATTGTCTGTGCCTGAAGGCATGCTAAACGAGTAGTGCCCACCACCAAGTTTCGAAGCATGCGATGTACCGCTGTCCTGGCTTGACAAGGCAAGGCCACACGGCTCTTATGTCTTGCATGTTCCAGGTCTCGGCGAACCACACCACTTGGGATGATGTGATTGCCCAGCCCCCGATCCCTACCATATCATCTTCGGCACACGCATCTGCGGCGGCCAGAGCTTGCAGCTGGTGTGGCCGCGCCAAAGGCTGAATAGGCGAGTGTCGAAAGCACGACGCCAGCCAAGTAAGGCACTGTTGGCTTGACTTGGAAAGGCTAGTGTATGGGTTGTTGGGGTCCGCGATGCGCACCCATGTGGGCTTGCTAGTGCCAGGCACTTGCGGGATGTCTTGGGGGCAATGCATGGTGCGGCCTGAAATTTCCAAGATTTTGGAGCCCACTGTGATCCACAAGCCCGGTAGGCTATGGCTAGTTTTGAGGTCCTTAGTCAAGGATGCTCTAAAGGCTGACCACATTTGAGGCGGTATCGAGTGCATCGAGCCTGGTGGGCTGTTGAGGTCCGCGTACAGCGGTGCTAGCCAGGACCTGAGGTGTAGGGCAATGCTGGTGGCCCAAATAAGCAGGCCGTGCTCCAGGCGCCCTGGTCGCCCACGAAGCTGCCGTACAATGGGTCGTAGACGTTGTTGGCCTCGGACATGCGCACCACGAAGTTGGAGGCCGTGCCGAGCCGGTAGCGGCAGGCGAAGAGGAGCTCTCGGCCCGGGGTCAAGTTGTAGGTGCGCACAATGTTCCACGGGTTCGCCGCCAGGGTCAGGGTGTAGCCGTCCACACTTACTCCCGCGGTGTGCGTGGCCAGGACCACGCTGCAGCCGCTGCTGGGGCGAACCGTCCAGTTTGACAGCGAGACGTCCGTGGGGGCCAGGATCTGCTCTCCTATGGCGGCCACCACCTCGTCGGCCCCTCCGTCGTCCGGAAAGCGCACTGCTATTTGCAGGGCCGAGGCTGCCTCCGTGACTCCGAGCTTGCCGGCAAGGAGGCCGTCCACCTGCGTGATGGTGTAGTAGCTGAGCAGCGCGGCTGCGATGCTCGAGGCCGTTGCCGTGTCCTGGTCGGCGGCTGAGCGGTAGTGGCTCTCTCTTTAGAGGGCGTTTCCCAAATGGATTCTATTCTACCTGAGAGGCTCCCGCAAGGCTGAGCTGCACGAGACGTGCCTCTTGGGGCTGAACTGAGCTGCTGTGAGCTACCTTGGACTACGACTTTCCCCCGGAGGTGCACGACCACTTGGACTGGGCTCCCCCGCGCACAAAGGTCGGGAAGGGCCTGTACGGGCCGCACACGGCGGACAGAAGCTCGTGCCCTTCCTCGGCATGCACGTAGAGGAGGGCGTGGACGGCAAGCGGCTCAGTTCCTGCGCGACGTGCTGGGCGCCAGAATCTGCACAGAGCCTACCGCTTCGCCTGCAGCCCCTTCATGGCGGGCTTTATGGAGCTCAAGCACAGCGAGCGGAGGCAGCTCAAGACGGCGTGGTCGCCGAGAAGGTGGTGAAGCTCACCCAGAACGCCATCGGCCGCTGCTGCATGAACCCCGACAGTTTAGGAACACGAACGCCTACGTGGAGGCCAAGTTCGAGCGGGCCGTGGGCAAGAGCTCCGTGACGAACTTCGAGCTCCAGATCAACGACTCGGGGGTTCCTGGCCTTCGTGGAGACGCTCAAGACGAACCGCAGCAAGGCCTTCATGAGCGTGGATAGCCAAGTCGGCGCCCGCACGCTGCAGCTCTCCAAGCTCATGATGGAGAAGGCCTACCCTCCACATGAGGAGGCTCTTCCCGAAGATGAGGCTGCTCTTCACGGACACCGACTCCGTGATGGTGCAGATCTTCGAGCTGCAGGACCCGCTCCACGCCATGG